TATATATATATATATATACCTAAGTATACCACGAACCCAACCACTCCTAGCGCAGAGAGAAGTCCGGACATTCAGCGGGCGTGAAGTACGGCGGGAGCGTTCGGGTTGAGGCCAGGCAGCAAGTGAAATGCCTGGAGGTCTTTTGCAGCTTTTCAAACAGCGCCGACGGAGGAAAAGAGTTTAGAGCTCGTCTTCCAGAGGGTTCGTCGGCTAGAGGACCTGAGGAAATTGATCGCCTGTTGAAGAGTTCAATCAGTCGAATTTTAAAATCAGCTGAATTCTCACGTTGGATATCCAGTACAGTCACTTATGAGGCACGGACATTTTGAACAGCTGCTGGCTGACGTGGCCATCGATTGATGAGGCCTCAAAGATGGAGTCGTTTTTTGGGTAGTATGATTGTTGATCACTCATGAGAGGGCATCTGCTTGGCCGAAATTTTCAGTGAATCGATACTGGGTGCCAAAGTCGTAGCCAAGCGTAATGACCGCCCATTGCTAAAGCCGATTCGCTGGATGAGTGGGTATGCCAGATTTTGTGCCAAAGACTGACAGCAAGGGGTTGTGCTCGATCAGAGGAGTGAATTGCCGGCGGAAGGCAGAGACTAGCTCTAATTCTTCTTATTTTGTTGTTATTCCGCTGGATGCATGCATGACCCTCTTCTCAGTTCATTCCGAAAATACACTGAGGATAACGGCTCTGGCATTGTAAACTGAAGCATTGGATGCCATGAAAATTGGCATCTTGGGATCATAATGCATCGATAACATTTCGGAGCTGAGCGTAGGCTTGAGCGTGCGGAAAGCGGCTTCACATTCTGTTGAACAAACCAAGGGCACGTCCTTTTTCAGCAGACGATTGAATGGCGGCCGGACACTGCAGTGCAGGCAGAAACGCTGAATGGTTGCTGATGGACAAAGAAGGAGCAAAGAGAATTAACATTTTGGGCGCCGGCATCTTTTGATTAGCTCGTGTGTTCTCGGGATAAGGGTGTCGACCGGAAACATCGAAGATGAACCCGAGATTCTTAACGGCCTTCGTGAAGAACTGACACTGTTCAGGACGGAGGCCAAGGCCGTTGCCCTGGATGCGTTGTAGCGCCATATCGTTTTGCGTGTGCAGTTCATAAGGAGGACCAGCGGCAATCACCGGATCGTCCTGGTATGAGAGCACACCTTGAATACCACAGAGGATTGTGTCTATCAACTGCTGGAAGCTCGCAGATGCCGTCGTAATATCAATTGTTAAACGTTTGTATTTGTACAGGCTCCCGTGCTTGTTATAACTTCAACCGGAAAACATGTATAGTCCAGGTCAATTTTGGCGGAATAAATGCCGCTCTTCATAATGGCAAATAAATCACCGGGCACAGGGGATAACGATGCTGTTCGCTAGACTTGCTGAGAAGTCGGCACAAATGCCGACTGGCCCCATAGAGGAGGATGTCGGTAGCTCAGGTAGCGTAAATTGTCGTTCGCTTGTTCGCTGAGCAGAACAATTTGGTTGCAAACGATTCATCACCAATCGAGGTGACATCATTAGCGCGTAGTTGTGCCTAACGGTGGGTTAATGGTTGTGCGTTCAGTAGTGTTACATGTGTGTTGATATACGTGCTGGTAGCCGGCAAGGACCTCTGACCACGATTAGTTATTCGGTCGGGCGGTTCCATTGGTTGTTCTTTTATCCCGTGTCCTCATTCGCCGATGCCCACGTGACCTTTGAACTTGGCATTCCTCGCCGTCGTAGTCTGGCCGATGTTGGAGTGATCTTTGTCCTTCCGAGTTCCGGCTCGTGACCTTTATTGATTTGCCTCCGAGGAGGAGAAGATTAAAACATTTAATTTCTGGATCGGAGCACACAATCAAAATGCAGTTCAATTCCTACGCAGACTACGGAACTTCAGCACAGAAGACGATGAAGTCATGCTTTCGTTTGATGTCACATCACTGTTCAATCAATCGACCACAACCTCGCACGGGAAACTATAGCGGAATTGCTTCGGAATAACGCAAACACGACAGAAGCCATGAAACCTGAAAGTATATGCAAACTGTTGGCACTTTTGCATGGATACATACTTTACCTTTGATGGACAAACATATCAACAGCTGAAAGGAACTCCAATGGGATCCCCAATATCAGGATTCATTGCTGAGGCGGTAATGCAAAGACCAGAGTGTGTAGTACTGCTGACCATCGATCCAAAGCCGTGGATCCGCTACGTGGAGGACACCTTTGTCATCATGAAACGGGACTCACTACACGACGTTTGAAGATATCAAGTTTACAATCGAAATCGAAAGAAAAAATCGGCTACCATTCCTGGACGTCTTAGTGAACAGAAAGGTGGATGTGACTCTGGAAACCTGCGTATACCGCAAAGAGACTCATGCGGAACAAATACTGAAGTACAACAGCAATCATCCAGTAAACCACAAAAACAGCTGCGTCCAAAACTTGTTCAAGAGGGCGGAAACACACTGCAGCACCACAGAACTACGGAAGGAGGAAAACCATCTATACAGAGTGTTCCAAAAGAATGGAGTTTTACCAAGAGAAGCTTGAAGAAGAAGACATCTCAACAACAGCCACAGCAAGAACAAGCCACCAGACGGGTAGTCCTACCTTACATCAAGAATATATTAGAACTCGCAACCAGATTATTGGCTCAAAAAGGAGTCTTCGTGGCCCACAAACCGAGTGCTACTCTAAGGGAATCAAACTCTATACCGAAGGACAACCGGGACAAAACCAAGAGGAACAATGTGATATACCAAATCGACTGCAACGACTGCAAGAAATTCTACGTTTGACAAACTGGGAGAAAATTATGTACACAAATAAAGGAACACAACACGGCTGTCAGGAGGCATGACCCCCTGTCCTTGATATCCATGCACGAGGACCAGGAAGGCCACAAATTCACCCTGGAAAACGCGAAAATTTTGGCACACGGAGACACGCGACACGGGAGAGAATTTCTGGAAGCATGGTACTCGACGACAGGTTCAATAAACCGGTTCATCGAACTGGATCCAATTTACGCACCTCTACGCGCGAGAGATCGACATCGCCACCGAAACACTCAAGGAGGACCGAGAAACAAGAAACTCCCCGGAGTCAAATCAATAAAGGTCACAAGCGGGAACTCGGAAGGACAAAGGTCACTCCAACATCGGCCAGACTACGACGGCGAGGAATGCCAAGTTCAAAGGTCACGTGGGCATCGGCGAATGAGGACACGGGATAAAAGAACAACCAATGGAACCGCCCGACCGAATAACTAATCGTGGTCAGAGGTCCTTGCCGGCTACCAGCACGTATATCAACACACATGTAACACTACTGAACGCACAACCATTAACCCACCGCTAAGCACAACTACGCGCTAATGATGTCACCTCGATTGGTGATGAAACGTTTGCAACCAAATTGCCCAGCCCAGCTGACTGACCCATTTGGCTTATTTACGATGATGATTGATGCTACCTATGCGGAGTAAGTTTATTAAAATAGGATGCTTTGTTGCTGAAGTTCTGAATGGACTGGTGGCAAAGAGGCGTACGGGACTGGTCTTATGGGGCACAATCTGCGATAGCATCCGGTCGAAGTCGAAAGGTTGCCTGTGTGGTAGAACAACGAACGAATCACTGCTCGAAAACGCTAGCGAAAGGTAACATGATATCGCCTGGTTGATCTGGACCAGGAACTCATGAACCGACCGCGTTACAGACAGAAGTGATTGGGATATCTGCTAAACCAGGACAATCGAACTAGTCCTGACGAAGAAGGTTCATTTGGGTGGTCACGTAACGCGACTCGATGAATTTCGTTCTCGCAGCATTGCAATTCCTCAGAAAGCCGCAGGTCGTCACCACAGACACTTATGGCATTTCTGGTAGACCGTCGGACTGGCGGTCGCCCAAGTGTGTGCCAAAGCTTCTCCAATATAATAGTGCCCATGTGCAGTCGGACCGGACGTCCATTAACCTGGCAAGTGACGAAATTTCAGTGGGATGTGATACTGACTTGCAGCGTTGTCTGCAGACTCAAGGCGGAGCCCACCGGCTTGGAACTGTGCATGTATGATTGCCGCTTGGAAGTGCCATGGAATGTATTGGATGAACGTGTCCGACAATATCCGTCTTTGTAACTCATGATCTTGTATGTGTTGTTTGTAAGGGTACAGCCTTTTAAGCTCCGCAGTACTAGTATGCGGATGAATCCTTCCTCTTTTGGACATTTTTCTGACCTGATTGGGTGGTTACAGAACCCACGGACCAGAGGATGACGGACCAGATATTTGAGAACCAGAGGGTTTTGAGGCCCGGCGAACCGCATGAATTTCGGAACCACCTTGACTCCAGATTGAACCAAAGTGGTGTCATACTGTAGGTTGGTCAACCGTTGGTACTCGCCAGCATGGCACTGCGTTTCTGCGAAGGGTATTGTTCAAGACGGTTGTACAGATGCGTATGCAAATTCGGGAGAGGCCGTATATTGAAATGAGGGAGTGGAATTGGTTAGTTGTGAGTGGCTTTAATGTAAAACGTTTTCATCCTTGATTAGTAATGCAAACGTACGTCAAAATGTCGTCTGACTCGTTAATAACCAACTTTAAAAAGCGCTACCGCGTAATGAACGGGGGAAACCGTTCTTTAAAGGTATGCTTCGGGGTCTGCACTGTGTCATCGAAAGACCGATCGCGTGGGTTTTGGGGTAGAATCAGTTTTCAGTACTTGTCCAGCCCTGTTGGACCAAGTTTGCGGAGCAAGAGCCGGACTTTCCATGCATCGTC